AAGTATCCATCATATAGTAAACAAATTTACTCAATGCTTCGTCATGTGACCTTTTGCAGTCAAAACTGCTTATAACTGATTGGAATACTTGTTGACAAGATTAACAAATATGCTAATAGGAATTTTAGCTCCCTCTTCCTTGCATATTTCTTTCAATTGGATAAGATTTCTTGCATCTCTCACTTGTACCTTCAATTTCCATTCCCGCCACAGATTTGCAATCGGATTGAGGTGATTGGCTTGGCCATTCCAATAACTCAGCATTTCCCTCCCCTTAAACTATGCTAGAGTTTCCCTAGCCGTGTGCATTTGGGTCATTGTCTTGATGGAATATCCAAACTCTAAGTAGGTTCAATTATTCGGCTGGCTTCACGAGACATCTCTCAAGAATGCCCCGTTACACATCGGAGTTCATCCTTCCTTCTGTAGTTTCCAATTCCCAGGGCCTGCAAAAGAGAAACAACCCCAAAGCATTATGCTGCCACCACCAAACTTCACTGTTGGCACGGTATTCTTCGGCTGAAGCACAGAGTAGATCCCAAAAATGAGATGATTCCACTCACGGTCACCAAGAAAAACCCCTCTCTCGAAGGAAATTTATGTAAAGAACCGCCGGAACTTTGCTAAAGAACACGTGAGTGAACTTTCAAGCTTTCAGTTCCGACCAAACAACTCAATTTTAGTCTCATCTGAGAGATGAGACTAAAATTGAGTTGTTTGGTCGGAACTGTGTCAGTCGTATTTGGAGACAGAAGAACTCTGCGTTTCATCCGTAAAATACCGTCCCAACAGTGAAGTATCGGGGCATTCTTGAGAGATGTCTCGTAAAGTCAGCCGAAAAATTGAACCTTCCTCGAGGTTGGATATTCCAACAAAACAATGACCCTAAGCACACGGCAACTCTATCAAAATTTTGCGGGTAGTTAGCTTCTGAATTAAAGACGCCTTCAGCTCGCCCAGCACGTAAATTAGCGGCTCTTATATGTCTGCATTACGCTCTTGTTGTAAGAGTGAAATAAGCGTCCGATTAGAATCCGGTCTCAGTCCGAGTGAGGTTGGAGTTTTCGTAGGGCGCGCGCATTTGGCACCTGAGAGCTTCGGCAGAGACACGGCCGAATCAGAAAAGTGCTTTAAAAAATGCCCCTCTCTTCCCCCCCCACCCAATTGGGGGTGATGGAGGGGGCATTTGATCCCTCATGTAATGGGAGAAAGGGAGGGGACATTTGAATCGCTGTACGCGTACGTTTTATGTATGTGCAGACCCGACTGAAACATAAAAAATGTATCACCGTGGCACAATGAAGCAAATGGCAAGAAAACACGAATTTGAACCGGGAGAAATATCACTTAATACAACTTTCAACCCAGTATGGAATTATAGAGGGATATTAAACTAACCAGTAGAAATAGCCTATTGGAAAGCAGGACCTGAAAGCTTGGAAAGGCCAGGAATTTTCTACTTTCAGTTCATTATATACATATCTTATTCCTTTCCAGCTGTGATTGGTTGATGGGATTGTGATGTGATCTCCTTTCCAGCTGTGATTGGTTGATGGGATTGTGATGTCATCCTTTCCAGCTGTGGTTGGTTGTGTCCAAAAGCCCCGCCCCAAATATGGTATGTTTACACCAGTACTGGTTAACTTAATACTTAAAGTAACTTGACTTAATACTTGACTTAATCATTATTCATTACAATTAAAAGGCCTGGAAAATGTTTAAAAAATCTATTGCAAAGAAAAATAAAAAAAATCAATCAAACAAGATACAACTAAATAATTCCATAACAAATCTGAGGTACTACTCCATTGAAACAGTTTGTCCACTTTTGATCCCCTTTGCCTTTATGTTAAGTCACCTGGCAGAGCTTCCCACCTTGGGGTGGAAAGTTTTTTATAAATGAACTTCTATTCCTAGAATTCCACCCTGTTTAAATTTCAACCCCACGTTTCCACATTACCCACAACAATCTCTAATATTTACCAGAAGACAAGATTCTACTACATTGCCCAAACAAAACAATCTTCAACATTCACTAGCACTCGACAATCAACATTCTCCAATATTCAACACCGCTCAATATTATCCCACATCGAAACATTCTAACACATTCACCGGCAGAGCAAAACATTCTCTCACCGTACCCAGTATTAACTACATCACTAAACATATTTTGATGAGCATTCTTCCGCAATAATCATTTAAATAAGTCCTAAACGTTATCCCAAAATATTTGCAAACAATAGACTAGTGTATCTACAGGAACCAGACGGATGAAACCATTTGTAAAATTTTAACCATTTCAACATAGCGCAAATTCAAAATGGTAGCTAATTTCTGTGTTTCTACTTACGAAATACATAAAATTTTATTACTTGTTCACGATAATGCAATTCAAGGCGAGACGACACCCGCGTGCATTCACATACTGTGTAATTTGCCATCGATTAGTTTTCTTACGGCACGTCACTCGTATGTCCGGTCTATCGAACTGATTTGCACGACACTATAAACTTCTGCCTACAGTGGTAGTAAAGAAGAAGAGATCAATTGCTACCGTCGAAATTCCACTTGGAATTTGTGATCTTCCTAACATTGCCATGTTCAATGGAAAGTTCGGAAATTTATCCTATATCAATATATATAATTTTTCGAAAATAACCAATTCATAATACTTCGATTTCACTCTGGTACCAAGCCCGATGATACAACGAAAAAAGCATATAATTGCAAAAAACGAGCAACTTGGTTGGAGCGTGGGTCGACCTTGCCCCGAAACAGCCACAGTACCAGTGTGGTCCGCTGCGGTCTCTTAGTTACTTACGAGTTATTCGTTGTATTTTTTTTTTTGTACGCATTTTTTCGCAACGGCTCTGTGACTGCCTGACGGGTGAAGACTAAACCCAACCATGCAGTCGAACTCTTGACTGAACTGGCATTTCCACATAAGGATCCAGCTTTTTAGATGAATTAGAAATTAGAGCCTGAAGTATTTGGACACGAGCAGCTAAAATAACACGCTATACTTCAGGATAAAAATTTCCATTACTGCCAGCTCCCAAATCTTTGAAGCTCAACTGAGTTGTCTAGAATACCGGCATCATGGCGCCATGCCGACTATTCACGCGGTGCCGGTGTCATGATTTTCATTGAACTCCACTTAAGAACCATTGTAGAGGAAAACTAAGAAATTTGTAGTTTCAAACAATATTCAGCTTATAAAATCTTTTATTTTTAAGTCTAATACTTCACAAGATCACTTTTCCCACTACGATTACATGATTGAAATGAGCAACGTTCGCCGTTCAACATGTGATCATCACTATAGTACCACTAGCGAAGTGCCGCGGGGCGGCGGCCGCCGGCGAAACAAACGAAATTACGAACGTCTAGCGTCTTGTACGCGTCAACTCACTCCCTCTAGCTGCATCGCATTGAACAGGAATAATATTTAAACATTTAACGAATCTAGCAACAAATTTTGCCCTGCGAACACGATCGAGTAACTATGGGGAACACGAACCGTAAAGTATGGACCAGTTTGTCATCGATGTCGTTTGAACTAATGACTAAACTTTTTTTTAATTCGTTCAAAAAGTAGTCAGGTGCCTGAACAGAGTTGGAAATTTTGCATGACACTCACGCCCAGTAACGCCCAGTAACGGCCATTGAATAAAACGATCATAATTCGCTGGTGGAATTATTTAAACCGCAGCAAAATATGATACAATTTTGAACCTCACCTGAAAATATTGAAATTTTGGAGACCTTATTTGAAGAATCGAAAGTACATGGTTCAATAACTGTCATCAGGTAATGCACTGTCACCACAATATCAAGCAGTTTCATCCCAAATCATAGCGACCTGAACATTTAATAAAAGACTTCTATGGCCCTGAATGAAAAAGCCGAACGTTCATCTGTTGCTTCTCTGACAATTACCAGCTTATATATGTATTAGTTAACTGTGTTATGATATGGATTTGAAATTTATCTATTGGAGCTACAAGCATTAATTTTTTACTGTCACGTACTTATCAAGTATTTTTCTCCTCTAGCACCCCTAAATCACATATTCTAAATCACATATTTTTAAATATAGCAAAATAAATTGAGATATTTTTGTCCTATAATTAATGAAATTACTATCTAACTGCTACGTAAGCTCAAAAAATTGATAAAGTCAATTCTGATTTCGTATCATCGTATGCTGTAACTAACGTACGCGTGTACGTACATCGACGCCATTCCATGAGCGGGTGAAGGTCATGGTTCGCTCAAATACTAGCGTCTGACATGAGACAGCCTGGCTAGCTGCTCATTTTAGTTATGTTACGCAGATTCAGCCCAACAAGCAATCGACTCTCGCAATTAGCTCCTAATTTCGAGCCTAATAAGGTAGATGGCCGATTTGCATCTGATTCTAAGTCGATTCTATGGAATCCCTAGCGACCCTGCATGGAATCTAAAATTAGACTGGGTTAAGGGCAACTCATGCGTGGTTTCAGGAGAGAGAGATTGAGTTATTGGAATGACAAAGCCAATCACCTGACCTCAATCCAATTGAAAATCTGCGGCGGAAATTTAAACTGAGGGTTTAGAGGAGATCGAGAGATTCAGGAAATTTTATTCAATTGAAAGAAATATGCAAGGAAGAATGGGCTCAAATTCATATTAGCATATGTTTTAATCTTATGAACATGTATTCCAATCGGTTAGAAGCAGTTTTGTCTGCTAAAGGTCATACAACAAAGTATTGAGTAATTTTGTTTACTCTGAGTTGGATACTTTTTGAACCTCGACTTTTGCACAATTACAATCATTAAGTCAACATATAATGATATTTTTATTTTGATATAATATTCGTATTTCCCGTGTAAATTTAGATTAGAATAGTGTTTGTTTATGTTATTTTTTTAATAATCTTTATTTAAATAAGGTTTTCCCTTTGTGTCCGTTACTTTTTTCACCCACTGTACATCATAACCAAACATTTTCAGTTCGTGGCTTCGTGGTACCCGCCGGAGCACGAGGACATGAAAGGCCTCTTCCGCCCCTGTTCGTCTCAGCGACTCTTCCTGCTGCACCTGCTGCCGGAGGAGTCCGCCGTCCTCTACATGGACAGCGATGTCATCTTCCTGCGCCCGCCTGAAGAGTTCTGGCAAATTTTTCACGAGTTCGACGAGAAACAGTTTGCTGCGGCTGCTGTCTATGTCGGTTCTTACCATCACATACCAAAGGTTGCGTACATATGAAAATAGTCATTAATATTTATAACATTTTCACTACGCCAAAATGCTTAAGGAACGAGTTTTTCCCTTCATGCGAAAGCGTGCACAGATTCTACAATTTTGTGTGTAATCGAATGTGTGTAAAATCGATACGATAATTTTGTCTGAGTTGTTGAACTTTGGAGACAATTTAGGAACGTGTGTAGATGTGCCTGAACTTCCCGGTGCAAATATCAGAAATATAACGTGGAAGAATCTACTTAAAAACACGATATGATAAATTATAGCCAACAGTACAATATTATTTCATAACTTTTATGATTGAGCTAATTCGTCCTTCCGAATTTCCCTTCAAAATAAATTGTGAGCAACAAGGCATAACACTTGTGTGAACTTGTCACAGCAACATAAACACTTGTGATTAATATGACAAGGGCTGCTTATCCTTTTCATGAAACACAGGACGTGCGTTACAGCGATGTGGGGTTCAACGCGGGTTTGATGTTGTATAACCTCACCCGCATGAGGCAGTTCCCGGCGGGCTGGGAGGACCAAGTGCTCAACATCACGGCCGAGTACCACAGTAAATTCAAGTACGGCGATCAAGATATACTCAACATCTTTTTCGGCAAGGTGAAGTTCACAAATAATGATGATTTTAGGTTAAGATTTATCGATAATGCCAAGTGGTGTGATATTATGCATCAGGAAAATGCAGAACATTAGTGACATCACTGACATGAATGTGGATTCGTGATTATGAATGAAAAATACGAGTTATGATAATTATCTATGTTACATGGGAATGGAGCGCATTTTCCAGTCACGGCGCAATTCGTTGTACACTTCCTGATACGAAGTTTCACATCATCTATTTGATGATGGTGTGAGTTATATTATAGGAAGGCGTGTAGTGAGACACTGCGCTGATAGCTATTTACGGGTTAGTGAGCAAAAACATAATTAAAACTTCTGCATATACCTCCGGAGCTTTTAAATTATGATTTTTACTAAGTATGTCATCGTCTGGAATCTAAGTCATTCAGAATAATTGTTGCAATACAGTTCAGGTCTCACTTTCGCCCCTTGGGATGTGAATGGAACTTACGAAGTTTTTACTGCAAATTGGACATCATTCCCGTCTGCCCTGAAATGTTGAACTGTGGTGCAAAGGCGGTCCACGGAACAGCGGCATCATTTTACTCGCCCGGAAAATTGATGGTGAGCTCAAGACTTTATCTACTTCAAGTTTTATAGTTATAAGTTGATCCAATGATGAAATGAGGCAACAATACACAGTAATAAAGCAGCAAATTATTCTAATTCCAGGATTTACTTGATTAAATTCACGAATGAATCAACTCTTTCAGAATGGGAATAATTCCGTGTTTATATATAAAAATTGTAATTTCAATAGAATTCAGAGAGATTAGGCGTCATTTATTCGAAGAATGTTTTTTCTCGTATAACGGTAATTCTTTTAAATAAAAAGGTTAGGTTTTTTGCGTTTGTCTTGCGAGGAGAGACAACCGCACACTATATAGCGGTTGTTTCAGCAACAAAGGGTCTATTGGCAGACGCTTAATTTATAATAGCATAATAACATCTGTTGTCTTGGATCTATAAAGAGAACGTTATTCAACTGCATATTTAGGCACCATTTTAATAATTATCGCAGTTGTCGGAATTTTTTTCGGAGATTTTTTTGATAATCTGTTGATATTTATTTTATAATCTTTCCCATTGTTGACAATTTAATTAGACAAATCATGTTACCAGTTTAATATAAAACATTCAAGAATATCTTGATTAGAAGATTAATGACTATTCGTGATTATCGTTTTAACCTTTTATCATTTACAGACATTCTTCGAAACGTGGAAGGCGATGAAAATGACGCAGTCCATCGCTGAATTCCAAGCAGAATTGAGAACAAATTTGGCCGCCACAAAACCTAAAGATAAATTTGGCTGTCACGGACGTGACTACATCGACCGAATTCTTTCACAACAACTAATTTCGAATGATGTTTCTTAGACGGATAATCGCTAGCAGCGAACGCTCAGATATTCACCCATGATTATAAACAAACGGATTATTAACAAGCAGTATACTTAATACACTTCACATTGTGCGTTATAGGAGCTGAAAGATTGCTTGATCTACTTCCCCTTTATCCGTAGCCGAATAAAGTCAACTGAACGATTCGCAATTTTCACTTTAAACGTTCAATGATTATACCTTTGTATTCTTATCCTAACCGGTTTGAAGCAGGTTATTGGCCATATAATTACTTATATAGAACTTAAATATCTTACGAATATCAGAAATCAACATTATGAAACAATTGTTTGATGTGTTAAAAAGAAGTTATCGTTGATGTGGGAGCGCAGCCGTGCACCACCAATTTTGTGCAGCAATAAGCCCTGAATCGAACGCCTTGGATCTCTCCGGACATCCACCAATCAGCCGTGAACCACTCGGCTTTGTCCTCCGGCCTTGCATAGAACCTGCCGTGCACCACCAGGTCGTGGATCGAATATGACTCCCGGGCATCGTTAAATAACGTAATTTTACGTTCACCGCATCTGAGGTTAGATGTCAGATAGCATAGTTCTGTTGCAAAATTCATCGTCCTGCAACAAGTGGCCCTTCGACCGAGGGCTGGTTCGACGCACGGCCTAGATACGGACGGCTTGAAGTGATGAATTAAGGCTACGTTCCGGAAGGCAGGAATCATGATGGTCCATTACATCCAGGGCAGTGGTGGTCTTTGACAGGCGACCCAGTGATGTTTTCCTTCAACCTTCTATTTGCGGAGTGATTATTGTGTAAAACTTGTTTCGATTGATTTATACAAAAGATTACTGTATTTGTTTGTTGGTGTTAGAAATTATTACTAGTACAGCAAGCCTTAAGGTTGATAGTCAAGTCAACAGCTAAAAACGACAGCTACTCATAAATAGGCTGTGAAAAAACCAACCGTAATTTGTACCTCACTGATATGTGAGAGTAAACGATAGGTAGCAAAGCCCAGGGATAATTATTATGATAAATAACGGAGAAATTTAAAATCAAGTTGTGGACCACATCTCGATCTGTGTGACGCTTGGCACTTGCCGGGAGGACGATTTGAAATTTAATCGATTTTTATTTGTGCGAGGCTAATAACATATTTATATCGTCCGGTGTATCATTAGTTTCATATACCTCGACCTGCATGTTTTGTTACAAAGCTAAGTAGCATAGATAGAAGATTACATAAATAATTCATCCCTTCAGTGATTTGATGAAATTCATTGCATGATATTTTTTACGCAAGTATTTTCACTAATTACGTCTTTTCGTTTAAAGTAAACTGCATGATATTAGTTCAACCACAGCTTGCGTAAAGTTTCATTTAATTTTGTTTTCCAATTTAATTTGGAAAACATAAATTTTCAACGAAGAGTTTGATTTTTAGGATTCCGCTTGAGAAAAGAATTAATATTTGCTCCGTTATTAAGTCTAACTGCCTAGTGATGACATCTGCCAAATTTCGGACCGGTTCAATATCATATTTTTATAACACCGTTTAATGTCTGTGAAGCGCACTTGAATTTAAGATGATAATTTAGTGCCTAGAATAACTTTTTTGAGAGTTTGACTAAGAAATATTTCATCTGATATTTCCTAAATTTGAATCGCCATCGAGGAACTGTATTTATCAATGAATAGCTTAAAAGCAGTTGTCTGAAAACGTTTCTTTTTCTTACAAAATGTCTGATGTTATTTTTTTTATTAGCTATGACATTCAGTGGCTGTATAATCCAAGGGAATTTAAAGCGCGCATGAATGGTGTGTACAATTTGTAATCACTGAAATAATTTTTGAAATGAAAAACTAGTAATCGTCTACACGACGAAAGTGGCGATGGATTTAAAACTTGATGTCAGTAACTCATTTGCTTCTCACGTTTCATTGAATTCTGAGTATAAATGAGAAGGAACCAGGCTCCTCTCAGCAAGTTTAACTTTGTCGCTGAATTTGAAACAATTGCACGCACATTTTCTGACGAATATGAATTAAGTTAATGACGTGATAAGGACTGACGTCATTAAAAAAGAGCCCTTGATTTTTAGCTGGCAATTTCATAAAGGAGAAATCGTTCTGGATATTTCGATATGCGTTAAATGCCGGCTCAATTATAATTGCACCTGCTCCACCTTTTTATCCTAGTAAATTATCACAAAATTTCTATCATTGCCGAGTTCTAACCGATTAAAATTTATTCACATTTGTGAATACGCGTGTAGAGCAGAGTAGGTCGTGAGGCACATTAGCCGCCATCTAGTTTTATTTCTTGTGTTCGGAAGTGATGTTCTTCGACCGTAAAGTTCGATGCGATCCTGAAATTGTTTTACATCTCAGGGGCGACTGAGAAAATAAATAAGGTATAATTCAAAATAAAATCACCCCTCAAACATTTTAATTCCATTAGATGGCCGGGAGTGCATTAATTCAATAAATTAAGTAAAAGTTTCATGATTCATAGAAATTAACTAGGAGTCGCTTCATAAGCTTTTGATCGTGCATTGAAACAGAATTTTCCGTGCTCATTTATTAAGCGCTACCTGAAGATCGGGATACGTGACTAAGGTCGTGACTCATGAAGGATAAGTAAGACACAGCTGTCTAGATAACATATCTGGATATACCGGGTGGTCATATAAAAGCGTTACGATACAGGTAGAAGCTACGGCGTCGACCGTAAAATCGGAGAACTCAACCGACGCGTTGCTCTAACTAGGGTTCCCAGACCTTATATGGACTTCGGCTTCCGCCCACAACTAAGGTCATGATCGCGTGATCTGTCACGTGATGTCTTCCAGATGCTGACTCGTTTCTAGTACTGTTCCATCAATCTCTATCAGGTCAAGTGAATAATACGTCCCAATTACATATGATCTAATCATATAATATAATTATAATGATATAATGAGACGCCAGATTCACAGCGGACACCCCCCCCCCCAGCAGGCATTCGGCGGTTGAATCAACTACCTATTACGACGTTGAGATCGGGGTTAAAGGAGGTTTAGAATGAAAATTGAAGCAACATCTTTCATTAAACGTCGTACTGACGTTACAATGCAACGTTGAATCAATGTTGCTACTACGACGTTGCTGCAACGTTGAATTCTATGGTTGAATCGACGTTGAAAAACCTATCTATTACGACGTTGAGATCGCGGTGAAAAGAGGTTTAAAATGAAAATTTAAGCAACGTCTCTCATGAAACGTCGTACTGACGTTACAATGCAACGTTGAATCAATGTTACTACTACGACATTGCTGCAGTTGAAGTGTTCATTGCTGCAGTGAAGTTGAATCAACGTTGAAGAACCAACCTGTTTTTCGTCCGTAGCAGGATTCGAGCCCGGGATCGCTGGAGACTGCGCGACGCCATATATAGCAACCTTGACCGCGGCAGCTCGCGTGCATGAGCAGTAAAATAAGCTAAAGAATTGTTCGACTCCTTGAAAATTGAAATGCATTCTCTGGTCATTAATCGTTCGCTTATATATATGTATTTTATTCATTGTCGGTGTGATAACAATAGTTCCATGCTGGTAAATAGCTAAACATTAAACGTACCGATATCGACCATTTTTCAACATTGAAATAAGATTGTTTTACGTCCGTTCTAGCTTTGGTCAAATTTCGACGTTGATCGGACGCTTAACAATAAATAAACATTCAACGTACCAATATCGACGTTGTTTCAACGTTGAAATAAGGCTGTTTTACGTCTGTTCTAATTTTGGTCAGATTTCGACGTTGATATGACGTTTAATTTTGGTTGTTCAACATTTCAACCCGAAATCAACCAATAATCAACGTTGTTTCAACGTCAGATGCCTGCTGGGCCTTTTTCTGGAAGATCGTCCCCTATCATATATGGACACAAAATCAAGTAAACACCTTATTCAATACCTCCGGTCAGAGTCTTATCTCATACCTTGAAAATACAGTTATGAAGGTTGTAACAGTAATATAAGGATAACGGTTCCTTAATTCACTTAATAGTATTAAAAAAAATGGAGTATGGCACTTTTAAGAGACAAGAACAAGTCCATATCCAACGCAATTTGAAAGAAATCCCAACTGGTAATATTGCAAACACCTTGTGGTATATAACGCCGCGTTCCTCCATTCATCGGATTATTGTCCTCGTGACACATAAGCTGATTAATCTGCCGACTCAGCGTCTAAAGCAAGCTCTCAGTGACACCGTGGACTCATAGCTAAGTAGGTCTGCTTGTAAACAAAGTTATGAATTATTAAATTCATACGCCATCAACGCAGTTGAAAGTTGTTATGACTTTGTATTACTCCTATCTTGATCATTCATTCCCTCTCTCTCTCTAGAGAAAATTATTACAACAATTTCCATTGTAAAATTTACACACTGAATACATTAGCGTACGGCGGGAATGCAATTATAATCCATACCTACCTTCGAATATCAAAATAATGAGAGCATCATAAATCTTGAATTCAGATTGTAACACTAAATGATAAGGATTAACGCGTTTACAGAGTATTGGAAGAAATATAGATAACCGAATTTTCACCTCAATAGAAACATTTTAAATTGATAATGAAAATTAGATCCACATACTAGGATTGATTCATTCGCTAACACCGAGTCACTTCAATTAGATGCATTAACTTCGAATGAAACACATTTATAACATATTTATTATTGGTGATCTTTCATTAAATCACAGAGAAAATTGCTTGTACAAAAGTCATCATATTTCTCAAAATCTTCAAATAATAATGATATAAACGCATCACAGAAATCAATATTAACATAGGTCTTTTTCATTAATTTTATTACATTGCTAATGCAAATGCCAGCAAAGTAGCAGACATTTTAAATTGACTGATCAATTTGCTACTGCTAATCTAATCGGGATGCTTATTGATTTATAATTAAAAAAAATTCTAAAAATTCTAATCGGGATGCTTATTGATTTATAAGTTAATAACCAGTTAATCATCACTTTTTAACTTGAAATGCAACTCAAATAAAAAAAAACTCAAATCATAAAGTGCAAAACATTAAACATCGTTTATCGTGTAAACGGTGCAAAATTCGATATAAAATCATTTACGATTTAATACAGTTAAAATGAAACTGTTTAATTAAAATAAGAATTATGCGTTCAAATGACGACAACATGTTAATTTCAACCGTGTGAAATATTACATTCGAGTGGTAAACACAGTAATTGTATCAAACCATTTGTCATTCGCAGCGCTTAATTCAAATACAATATAATATTTTTGAACAAACAACATCTCATAAATATTCAACATCGTTCGAATTAGTGGCAAAATGTAGATACATACATGAGCAATTATAGTTACTTTAACAGTAAAGTTGTCAAATTTTAACTTCGATTCGTCACACTTGAATGACCTCAGTGACAAAAATCACCTCTGTCCGATAATGTCACAGTATATCCCAAATAAAATTTAAGGGTGGTGCACCGATGATTAAAGGTGGCGATAGTAGTTTATAGGTGGCGTAACGGTGAGTGGCCAGGTTTGCCAAAAATCGACAATAAAACATCAATAAATCGAAAGGGTGGCGAGTAAAGGTGGCAGTCATCTATGAATCATCGCTGATTTGTAATGTCTGAATAATCGATAGCACATTGCAGGCAAATCTCTTTTAAGCCACTGAAAACCGTTTGCCTACACAATGCACGAAGGTATTTGCCACAGTAATTTATCCAACGTAGAAAGGTGTTATTGGATTGCGGGTCATTCGAGATCAAGACGAAACCATGACTTCGTTTTGTGTGCTTGGCTTTTAAGAATTAGTTATGTTAAGAAAATTTTGCGTGAATTAGGTAGTCACCAATAAAGCTGAGAGAAGCAAGGTGTTCACAAAGTTATTGAACCAAAGTGGAGCCACTGGGCATGTATCAGACTGTTCCTGATATAATTGTCCGAGGAACAATGAAAAAATTTGATTGCAATATATACAGTTTTTCCATACATGACGGCGAATCCAATTTTTCATGTTCACCTGAAATGTTGCGTAAATTTATTAAGAATTTTGCGTATGCACCAACTGGCTGTGTTGGAAATATTGCGATCAATTGAGACTACTTAGTCTATTATTAAGTATAAATTGTATGGGTCGATTAAGTGTGTTCCATTATATTTACAATATTCTCAAGTTGCCCCATTTATCTAAACTCAAAAGGCACGTTGACGTAGTCAACAGCGGCTCCTCTTCCTTGTAAAGCACAGCGGCTCGGCATCATGGGCAGAGAGCGAGAGAGCGACGTGTGAGTAAGCACACGTTCATACCGGTTGGCTTGACGCGCGTCGACGTTGAGCTTCCAACTAATCTTTACCTAGTCGCTAGTCCTGCTTGAAACGTGCTTTCCGGGTAATTTGCTTGTCACAAAAGTATCCTTTTTACGCAGAGGATACGAGTAAAAATTCGGTTATCCATCCTGACTTCGATTGTGAAATTTAATATACAGTCAGATAATTCTTTAGATTTTAGATTAAAGACTAAAATTCTTTAGACTAAAGATTAAGCTATAGAAAAATTGTGACTAGAAGTGGTGCAGGTAGTTCACGTCTGATATTTCAAATAATCGTGTAATATCAATTCCTTACTTCACGTCAGAATATTCTTGGTGAAAATATATCGAATTAAGCCGCTGTCAAAATTGGTGTAATGTTGACATTATGAACTTCGATACTTATAGCATTTTCCCGTAGCCTTTACTCTGAGCTGAACCATCGTTCGTTACGGATAAATGAAGTTTCTTTCAGCGAGTGTTTACTCGAATGTAGTAGCATGTTCAAATAAAATTGGTGATGAAGCCATCTAATCATCACGGTGGTAGCATTAACTTTGCTCATTTGATGAAATTAATATTTGCAATACTTCAGTTAGATCTTTTAAAATTACTCGACTGCCATGGCCTCTCCGATGGCGCAACGGTAGAGGCTCTGCTTCGCGTGTGGGAGACCGGAGTTCGAATCCTGCAGGCAGGGACTTCTTCAAGTCGATTTCTCACGAGGTATGTGTATGATACTCTGATTATATGTTCCTGCTACATGTCTGACATTGTTACGTGTACTGCCATGGTAGATTTGCACACGTAGCACTTAGAATGGTGATTGAGTGATGCAATATCAGTAAATGCAGAAGCATCGGATTTGAAACTAAAGGAAAATTTTTTATTGAATTCATTTTAAAGGTGGCCACTGGTGGCCCATTGATGCGCCACCGGTGCCAATGGGTAGTTATTGATGTACGAAGAGCTTTACGGGTGTGGTGGCCATTGGCAGGTTATAGGTGTGGGATAGGTGGTGCACGCCACCCTTAATTCACTGTATAAATCATATAAGCTCCACCTATGGGGTCCGCCGATAGCCACCATAAAAACATAGGTGCTCCACTCTCAATTTTTATTTGGGATCTTGCATTGACAAGTCTCATCAAGATTGAACTGCATGAATCGCCTTATTGCTATGTATTTTAATTATATCGCTTGTCTAATTTGGAGATCTCACTAATGCCATCGCTGAACATGAAGTCATTTTGCTTACGGACTTTGCGCAAGCTCAGCAAACATTGCTTGCATCGTCATTGAATTCTATGAGCTTAAAGCAATAAGATTCCCGGTAAATTGCGGTCGAATTCTTTAAGTGAATTATGAGATCATTATTCGGCATTAATTCTAAGCAATATGAAATTATCCGAATAGAACATTTCGCACGACATGATAGAGCGCTAGAAAAGTTAATTTATAACTTAACACATTTATCATAATTCCAGATAGATTTATATTCAACTCAAAATAGTCTAACTTTAACAGGTTACTCCAATTGAATCGAAAGGTCATCCATAAATGTTACACTCATCACCAGGGTCGACGAGCAAGCTGCAGCCGTCTCGAACGATGGCGAGCAAATGACCAGATAGCGCCTTAATTCTTCCAGACTAGTGATCTCGCCTTTCAGAGAACCCCTGGCACCAGAAACTCTATAGCAGTGCTGGTAAATGGGAAACTAACAGACTGATATTAACTAACGAGTCCACCACATTTGGCTGTGTGCATTCACGCAGACGAAACGCTCCAATAGCCGATAATGAATTTAGACATTTTAGCTCCCACTTTTGGTGCTTCCGAATTGAGTATTTTATAATCCTTGCATATTTTTGAACAGAGGCTATGCTTGAATGCAACCTTTAGCTCTTATTCAATTGGAATTTTAGATAGATTTTGCTTTTTAGCTTTGTTTTTGTTTGTAAGTTTAGGTTCGAACTTCTATGTTTTTTTTAATTTCGACTCCCAAACGAAAGCAGGATTCCGAAACGTTTTTTTTTTAAGAAATCAGGTAATTTTTGTGAAATTTTCCTTGCTTTTGAGTTTCTAGGAACAGATTTGAGATGGCACTATAGGAAGCCAATCTGGTCATCCCTCGTGATAAGCAGGATCAACGATAATCGACTTCACTCGATCGATATTGTTACCGAGCCAATAATGACTTGACTCAATCGTGTAGCAGTCTAAAGTGTGGTTTAGCTGTTGGCAGGAGTGTATTTTTACTAATTTTACGAGGCTTTCAGATTCCCTGTAGGTAGGTGTTTAGCTCATCCAGAAAAAAAATAATTTTAATATATTATAACAATGATATTATTGAAATAGCCATCCACACAACTAAAGCATCAGTATTCTGCGTGTTGAAAACCATTAAGTTTTATTTAGGATAGACAACCTCAAGTGATGATTGTTATCTTATTAAAAATTTGGCGGGCTAAGCGTAATCAACGAACACCAAAATATGCCCGATATTAATAGAAATAAAATTTCTATTTCTTCTCCAAATTTGGATGAGGAAAACAAGCGTCATCACCTGCACCACCACCATTATCAGGATCATTACAACAAGTCTCATCAACTATTATTTTCGAAAACAGAAGAGTAAGACTTGAGAGAATCTCTGGTTGAGAGGAAGAGACACTATATATCCCGAAAATTTAATTTATACTAAAGTTATCATTTAAAAGTTGAAATAGGTATACATTAGGAAACCTTGTTTTTATTGCATCTTATTTATTCATTTTTTTTGAAAACCTAAATGTGATCATGAACATCAAATTAAATTCCCCAATTAACTCCCAAAAGTTCCCCAGCATTCATCGCTGTACTAGGCAATTTTCCAGCATTCATTTCGGTACTAGTAAATTTCCCAACATGCACCACTCTTCCAGGTAATTTCCTAGCATTATTGCTTGAAGTAATTTTCAGTATTGGTCCCCTTGAAAATATTTCAGACGTCACTTTGTGGACAACTTTCATTCTAGTTTTAGAAGTGACAGTCCAAGTGTAACGCACCGCCTGAGAAGTTATCTGTGAGTAACCTAACATAAGAGGGATTTTTTGTAGAATAAGTTTCAGATAATTTAATTGCCGATCTACCTTTATGGGTATTTGTAATTCTATTATACATACTGATAGCGCGTCAATTATGACTGCTTTTTAAAATTTAGTATTAATATGATGGATTGAGGGGCTGTTACTTCATGTTTTATGCACGGTTACCAACGTGATACTCTGTGAAACTCACACCAAATAATTATAACGGAAGTGCTGCATTATATTTTTATGAATGAAAAATATTTAATGGAGTACAAGATGATGTACATGATAATCAATTCATTAATTTTAGAGGAACATTTAGTCAATATTCGTTTAAATTTATATTATTAATGAATATATAACAATTTATGACAATTTATGATATCTGTCTCTATACTTCCCGATATTATTTTAGACTCGTAGCTGCCTTACGGTGAGAACACAAACACGCTGATGAGGTCAGTTCTGATGAGCCGGCAATGCGGCCGAGCAAGTGCGTCGTTGCTGCTGCTGCTTATGGTGGTCTTATATTTTCTGCTCACGCCGAACTTGCGGCTACCTTTTCTTGAGAACACTCTTGGTAAGGTCATAGAAATTCGTCTCTATCATAAGTTTTAACATGCAGGACCCTTGATATTGTAATTTTGGAATAATATATTAAAGATATTTAGTCAATGAGATGAGACAATTTTTTTCATAGCTGCTGTGTATCATTTCAACTTATGAATATCGGATCAAATTAATAAATTGCCTCAATCTCGATTCATATAATTTTTACTGGCTCTCAATAATTTAAAGTTCCTCACAGGCTTTTTGGAAGAACCAAACACAGAAACTTACAGTTTCTGCATCATATTGCACTGTGTAATCGATTGTTCTCTGACAACAATTATTTTCAGGTATTAGTTGAGTCTCTGTTAAGATAATTAAGATAGTTCAACTATTGATTCTAACGTTGAACTCACATCCAGCCTGTGATACATTTTTCATTCGTTCAGCCAAAGTTCGTTTTTTCCCATACAAAAGGAGCTTGAATACTCAACGCTTCAACAATGAACTATTCGCGTTTTCTGGACGTCCAAAGCAATGCAGGTTTTTCAGCAAATTAGGGAAAATTAATATACTTTACCGTTCAAATTTTCACTGACACCTGAAGAACATTTGTATTTTTCTATCAGAACCACGCGGAGGACAGCAAATTCAAGAGGAGATCAATATAATCCTGGTTATTTGCCGCAGTGAGTATTGCATTTTTGAACTGGTGACTTGACAAACTTTTTATTGTGCATTTACAATACAGTTAAAAAATATTTTTAATTCCAATATCTAGATCTCATTCATGTACAAATAATATTTTGTTCACAGGCAACTCAAAGAATCTGTTGAATTCCATTGATAGACAATTACTGCAAGCAAGCGTGGCCATCAAAGCAGCCGCGTATCTCTCCCTTCAACGCATCAGGTGAGAGTTGTAAGGCATGGTTATCTCCACATGGTGTTAACCTTGACAGTCTCGTTCATAGGCTGTTGAAAAATAGGGGTTAATAATCCTGCGTCTATGATAAAGAAATTGATAAGCATGAGTCTAATGCTTTCTCAACCGCCTGCTGCTGTACGTTAACTCGGTAAAGGTAAAATAGTCCTTCACTATATTCCCTTTGATGCCCCCAGTATCTATAACGAATTTTGATAACGTCTTGGCTTCTGCCAGGGATTCGCTAAACTAGACTTATGTTATTCTGGGTATTTTTATATCGAAATAATTTTCTGGTAATATAATTTTCTTATATCCGACTTTATTGTCTTCCAAGAGTACGATAAGATTTGGCTGACGCCGAGTCATACAAAGCTAGCAGGCTTCTTAGATGCTGAACTTCAATCCGTGCCACAGGTTGTATGGAGCGGCTGATTTACTTGTTCCCTGTGTTCTAGAAGACACCTGCTGTGAAGTCGGCTCGCATCCAAATTTCATTATCCTACTCCACAATGAATGGTTAAAGTTTACCAAATAGGCGACTTATTCGGCATGGTATTGTGTGTTGTTTCTATTTCTATGTACTGTGTGTCTGTGTCCCATTTTCAACGGTTAAATTCCGTTCGTCCGCATCTCCGAATGTCTCTGACGGTATTTATGAAATATTCCTTCATTCTATTGTCTCATAGTTCAGCTTTTGCTGTGGTCGACAGAGATTGGCTCAAGCATTTGGTGCCTTTCACAATTAAATCACATGGTGCTTTTAACAGTTAAATCACATGGTGCTTTTAACAGTTAAATCACATGGTGCTTTTAACAGTTGAATCACATGGTGTCTTTCACAGTTAAATGGGGATTGAGTTGTGGTGGGCAGGTTGCGAGTACCTGGGAATCATATAAAGAAAACGAAGTAATTGTTTCCAGTCTGTAGGTCATGATGCTTTTGCGACAAAATATTTGTGCACCATAAAAACGACGAGTTTCTAATTCAAGTTCTGACTGTGCTAATTTGCTTTGGGCTAACGAAAGTAAAATTTAATTGGAAATTATTTTCAGATTCTTAATCGTGAGCGACTCCCAGGATGTCTTCAACGAACTGGTAGCTCTGACTCAAGCCTGGCCAACGGCCTACAAAGAAAGAATCTCTTTTAAGGTGACACTTCTCGTGTCCATATAAGGCGTATCTTGATTTGAATTTAAAATCGAAATAATCTCGGCACTAATTAATGCTATTGTTTGCAAGTTTTTCAATAACATTAAAAGTTTTAGAAGTTGCAGTTCATGTAGAAGTTATGTGAAAGTAAGAATTTGAATGCTACGAGCGGTTGGATTGACAGTCGAATTTTCAGTAAACAAGTACCTATAGAATTGATGTTAGTTTTCAAATTTGTAGTGGTAGAAGATGATTAATAATTTATATCCGAGTTATCTTCAGGTATGAGATTCATTGATATATTATGTATTTCATTCTAGAAGGTTAATGAGTTAGCTGAATCAATAAAATTATATATGTTTATTTCTACCTTAGAAATTGCGCACTTTTCATTAGAAACGTTCAGTACTCCGTCAAACTGTAAATTGGACAGATTAAAGCAGAAATTTGTGTATAGTTAGTTATGCTATTCATAATCAATTTGTTAATATTTTTTTGTTGATTTATTTATATAGTAATCGAGAGGTCACTAGTTTTTTATGAATAGAGACGAATAATTCTATGGCCTACACAAGTTATCGTGCAGAATATCCTTTAGTTGTGCATATAGTGCAGATTTCACGTTACTTCAAATCATGTAAATCGGAAACACGCATAGATGAATTCAACGTCAAGAATTAGTGGACACTTCAATTGTGAATACACGCTGCCACCATCCATATCGCTGAAAAATAAATTCTAAACACCATATTTACGTAAAATAAATCGGTAATTTTAGGCTCTCAGATAATTTATTATTTAATATAACCATTTTGAAACTTTTAGTTCTTGGCCTCGTGGTACCCACCGGAGCACGAGGACATGAAAGGCCTCTTCCGCCCCTGCTCGTCTCAAAGACTCTTCCTGCTGCGCCTGCTGCCGGAGGAGTCCGCCGTCCTCTACATGGACAGCGATGTCATCTTCCTGCGCCCGCCTGAAGAGCTCTGGCAAATTTTCAACGAGTTCGACGAACGCCAGTTTGCCGCCGCGGCTCTTGACAAGCGAGATTATAATTATATACCGAAGGTGAATGAGCTTAGTATAGAAAGCATATTGCATATTTTCTTTTGCTAACTGTACGCATCCGTATGATATTTCAGAGAGTGAGTCAATTTTGAAAATTAGGCTCCTAATTATGCTAAATTGCCATAAATGTACATGGTTTCTAACAATCTCATTCAAGAATGGCTCTGAAATTTCGCATTCACAAATGTTTATTTAAGTCAAGTTTATTTCGATTTGCAAAGCTCTCCTCTAATATAAACGGCTATATATACATATTTTTAATGTTGTAGCTGCTTGTAACAAATAATGAAAAACTAATGAAATAATGACATACTTATCTTCGGTTGGAGTTCCATCTTTTCTCCATGAGTGTAAAAACATGATAAACAAATGTTTGCGAAATTAATTTTAATTTCTTTGTACCCTCAAAGAGTGTAGAGGTGTTTCTCATGGGAATATACATCAAGCTGACCGCCTGAATTGCTTCTCATTTTTGCAGGAGGTTCGGATGACAGATATGGGGTTTAACGCAGGTTTGATTCTGATGAATTTAACCCGCATGAGGCAGTTCCCGGGAGGCTGGGAGGACCAAGTGCTCAACATCACGGCTACATACAGCGATCATTTTCAATTTGGCGATCAAGATATACTCAACATCTTCTTCGCCAAGGTAAGTCGACGTCCCATGACGCATGACAGTTTAACACGCTAAACACGTTCGATTAAAATTTCAAAAAAATTATCGCTTCTTACCCGGAATTTTTTAGTTTTTTATTATGGTAAATTGGCGATTTAATAAAACTGACCACATGAATAATGGTCCTTTCATCACTAGATGAAACCATAACGGTCGCTCAAGAAACGTTTTTTACAAGCAGTGCGAAGTGTTGTTTGTTTCAATTATTGTTGTAAGCCGCTTTTGCTCAGCGGTTAGCCCCACTGGTCATAAGTTCCGTGGTCACTACTAGCCCATTATCCATAATTTCGACCTTTTATGAAACACTATCTGCTGGAGGCTACCGCTGCCTTTTCATTGCCCTACTTCGAAAATTTGATATTACAACACTTCTCTTTAACTTCACTTCTTGTTGTTTGTTTGTCTGTCTGTCTGTCTGTCTGCTACAAATCTTATAATCGATATTTAACACACTTCTACCTGTCCAATCGATCTGAAATTTTGCACACTTGCGTAAAGTTGGAGACAATGCATGAATCAATTGACAGAATAAATAATTTTACGAACTAAAAATTTTTTTTCATTAATAAAAAACATTTAAATATAATTTCGTCTGCTACAAATCTCTTAATCCATATATGACGCAATTTGACCTGTCGAATCGATGTGAATTTTTGCACCATTGCATAAAGTCGGAGACAATGCATGAATCAGTTGACAGAATAAATAATTTTGATAATTTACAAAATATAAAAAAATGTGAAAAATAATTTTTTTCAATATATGAAAATAAAATTAAAAATTCATTGTACATGTGTAACATCCAAGACACAGGATTTTTCAGAAGTATTGTCTTTAAAAAGTAATTTTTAAACGCATATTATTTCTTATTGGTGTCACAGGACTAGTGTTTCTGAGTGTGAGGGCCACAATTAACAAGTCTCGCTACTCTAATATTTTATTACTTATCACCACTCTAATATTTCCTTACTTCTAGAGATTTATGATGAATACAAACCTCTTTATCCATACAATGCCATCAATGTTCCGTAGATAATGCAGTTTCTCATCAATATGACATGGAATATTCATGTTCTAACGAACGAAGACTTATATGTATATGGTCTACGGGTGGCGTGACCAATATGTTAGAGTCTTTCAATGACTAAGCCGGGATTCTACATACCTCGTGATTTTTCATTACAGTTCAAGTCTCATTTCTACCCACTTGGATGCGAGTGGATGGGGCGAGCTTTTTACTGTGAAAGGAAAAAACTTCGCGCCTGTCCTAAAATGATGAACGAAGGGTCGAAGACAGTCCATGGAGCCGGGGGGAGCTTCTATACTAGAGGAAAATTCAAAGTGAGTTGAAATCTATTTTAAACATAAAATAAATCTTAGAATGTATTTTTTATCTAGCAAAATAGTTAAAAACTTTAATATGAATTGACTAGTAATTAAAGTTAAAGATCTCTCTCGTGACAACACAACTCATCACTCATCAAACCAATCAAGTCTGCCATTTACATTTAGAAGTTAAATATGGATTTAATTTGAATAGGAAAAGGAAAAATGCGATATTCGATAAAACTGAAGTCTTTTTTCTCCCTAAATGATTATTGAAACTTACACCGTCATCTATCTTAAAAACTTATACCAACAAGCCAAATATGTTGAAGCAAAATTTTGGCAGACATGACATGTGATTCAGGAAAATACGGATTCTTTTTCTGTGGAGTGATTGCACGGTTATGCACCTTAATATACGTCCATTTTCACGTACCTACCTTATTTTCCTGAAAAAATTCAAATGTATTTTGAACCTAATCTTATCAACATTTGAAGACAAAGTGGCTCATAGCTTCATGTTTTTAGCGCATTTTCTCATTTATGGAAAAAATGCCCTATTGAGCGTCATGTCAGCCTGTCCGTCCGTGACTTCACGTTTTCGTCGACGAGAAAATGCGCTCTCTGTCACTCACTGCAGCACTGAGTGAGTACTGAGTTATATTTTTTTAACTTGATTATGCAGTATGCACAAGAGCGCAGGAAAACTTGGTATGCCTATAGATTACGTAGCGTGCCCGTATTTTTATTATATTTTCTGAAGGAATT